CCAACGAATAGTGTGATTGAACGTCACATTATAACGCCCCAAGGCTAAAGGGCGAGCATGTTTGGAGTGGGGATTCGAACCACGACCGCAGATTGCGGGCCAAAGTTGTATGCATTCTACGTGTTGAACACTTCATTTCAAACTACAATAGTTGAGTTGTGACAACTACTCCTTACAGTTTAGGAAAATAAATATTAAGTACAAATATAACAGATTTATTATAATCTTAATTACCGCACTACTAAATTGTTGTTGGTTTATGTGAAACTCAATAAATATTCTTAATGTTGATCGTTGGACTTTCCAGAACATCATTAGAAGAGGGTAAACAAGGTACCAAAAGAACTGGCCCTGTGGTATAGCTCTGGATTTCTAAGCTGGAAAGCCGGGTTCGAATCATTATCATACCGCAAAATATTCTCCACACTTTAAGCTGTGAGTGCGTTATGAAAGTGACAGTCAGACCCTTATTGCAGATAGTTGGTGATAGAATGTTGCTGATTGGCTGCTTTTCCTTTGGCCAGCACTTCAAAATTAGGTAGATAGTCTTAGTAGCTTTGCCAATACAAATGTGTTAAAAGAACCTCATTTGTACTTACTCGTTGATGACGAATCTCGGCGTATTTTATAGAGGTTTAGTTCGAATAACGAAAGATAGGTCGATATTATCCAGATAAAATAGGATAACAAATTATGGACACTTCTTTCTCAAGTGGAAAAACATTTCTGCGGAAGATAGCCTATCATTCTAGAGCTACTATTAATCTCAGTTGAAACAATCGTCAAATCTTATGCTAAGTTTTTTTATTGCTTGAACCAGATCTGAATAAGGTATTGTAAACTAGCAAAATGTTGATTATTTCTATATCAAACCTTAACAGCGCACAAAATGTATTGCGAAAGGCGCTAATAACAGCTATGCTTATTTGTTTGTTCTTGAATTTCCCCTCGAAGCTACTCGTGAGCTAACTGCTCTAGGCTAGCTTTTCCTAATTTCAAAATTATAGCTTAGAGGGCAACCAGCTAATCAACACCATCCACCATCAACTCGTGAGCTACTCTAATAGAACAGGTGAATTTTACTTTCACTCTTATAACGCATCCACTCTCTCAAAGTGCGGAGATTATTTTTTTTTCAGTCATAGAGGGGCGCGAACCTTGGATCCACAACAACAATGCAAGTATAATATTGCCCAGACTTACAACTGCTTTTCTCTAAATTCCGCAAAACTTTTCGTGAGTTGTAGTTAATTCATAATATAATTCGATTTAGTTGTTTGATGTAAATATAGCAAATACTGTGTGTGAAAAACATTGAGGTCTTCAGGTGAAAACTTAATTACTGAACATTGTATACTGTGTGTGAAAAACATTGAGGTCTTCAGGTGAAAACTTAATTATTGAACATTGTATACTGTGTGTGAAAAACATTGAGGTCTTCAGGTGAAAACTTAATTATTGAACATTGTAGCGAAAAAATTCACAGTAGAAATTGTTTGTTTGTTTGAATGAATTTATGCACAAAGCTACACAATGGGCTATCTGTGCTCTGCCCACCACGGGTATCGAAACCCGGTTTCTAGAGTTGTAAGTCCGCAGACATACCGCTGTGCCACTGGGGAGCCACAGTAGAAATGTAAAAATAATGTTGTAATATCCTGAAAAAAGCATAACAGTATTCTAGAAAAAGGTATCACACCCCCATTAAAAATTCGCATTTGTTAAAACACAGCTATATCGGATAATCTAACTGTATTTCACTTTCAGTCTATCATCTTCCAGGATATTTCTTGCATCTACATTATTAATTACCGTCACTAAAATGGGTTATTTTTATTTGGTCTTCGTTGTTTCCTATATTTTTGAGCGATCCCATAAAATGGCCTCTTAAAAATCTCTCTTTCCTTGCCTCGGGTCATACAGCGCACCTGTATGAGAGGTCATGCACCCGAGGCACCCTCTTAACTATGGGATAGCTTTAACAACCGTCAAGGTCAGTAGGCTTCTTGCACGACATCACATGGAGCATGAGAATTTTATACTAGGGAGATAAACTAAGGTGCTGTGTATTTTCTATACTTTTTTTTTTCTTATAGTTAGATAGGAAACAGCACAAAGCTTACGTAAGAAAACAAAGACTCAAATCTTAAAAATCAATTCCAGTCACGAACTAAACCTTAAATGTGCACTAAGTGTATAAAATTACCGTTGACATCAAACGCATTTTCTTATTCTTTTCAATCCTAAAATATTCACAGTAATACTTATTGCTATAGAGGGTGTTTTATTCAAGTACCAATTTTCTGTTATTAATTTTTATTGAAAACATATCTTAACAAACAGGTCGTTTTTACGTTGTATATTGCATTACAGCCTACCACTCAGAATGCATTATGGGAATATTTAAGCAAACAGTTATTATGCATATGGGCTTGACCTGAGGATGGACTCAGTCAGTTTGTTTATTTTGTTTGTAATTAACCACAAAGCTACACAATGGACTATCTGTGCTCTGCCCACCACGGGTATAGAAATCCGGATTCTAGCGTTGTAAGTCCGCAGACATACCGCTGTGCCACTGGGGGGCGACTCAGCCAGTATGTAGTCCAAAACGTCGTCTCGAAATAGAAAACATCGGAAGAAGTCCATAGTAAACTCTGTTGACATGTTAAAAACATTATCTAAGTCCACTTTAAAAGAAATTCTTAATGCTGACAAGACAAAACCAAGACTCCAAGAATAAGCTTGAGTTGAATCAAATGATCCTTACATTATTGTAAATAAGATATCAGATTATTTGGTATATATCTAAATAAACGTACCATATGATAATCAATAAGTTATTGAATCATTGAACTTTTGAAATAAAACTAATTGAGCATAAATGCTATTTCGGTATTACAGTTTCTATCATTCCAGATTTTAGATACATGCAAGTGTTCAAAGGCATCAGGTGACCTAAATATAAGGAAATATATTGGCGCCAAGTCTTTTGAATCGAACAAAATGTTCAAAAATAATATCAAATCTTTTTATAACAATATTTCGGGGGAAGCTGCACAAAAGTTTATTATAAAGAACAATTCACTGGAGATTAAAAACATAGTGAATCGTAACGAAATTGTAACTAAAGAAACTACATTAAAACTGAATCCAATGGACTGTGGTTAGTTATATATAAATTAGAGCTATTTTAAATGTATGTAAACTCGATAAGCCCAAACTGATACACAGTAATCGTCGCTCTATTCCGTTCTGTTCTGAATTTTTTGGAGGAATTTGAAATTTTAAAACCTTCATTTCCAATAAATTATAAATTTTTCCATAAATCAAGAAATACTGCATTATTAAAAAATTACAAATTTTAAAAACGTCTGTACGGTTAAAAAACGAGGTCAATGAAATTTGGGAAGGTAAACATCGTCCTATATAAACTTTAATCAACAAAGTTCCTTATTCTCTGAACGATCGTTTAACTTTATGACAGAATATTGCCTTATGAGTTTTTAATATTAACATCTAAACCCAACATCTGACACGACTATCGTCAGCAAATTATTGATATAATACTAATAGTAAAAGAAGTCAGACACTTCTTACCATAGAATAAACTCCACTGAGCACACTTCCTACGAAGAGACGACAGCATAAGAACGAGTTGAGAAATGCCATAGTGATTAATTCAATCTATTCGAACGCAAATTGTATTGTATAAGAGCTTTGGCTGGAAGTTTTCAATTCCGTCCGCTGTAGCACTTCATATTTATAATGTCACAGTAAACGTCAGAACTTTGGTAGAAATGTCTTTCCCATTTTTAGTACGTATGTATGTATGTCTTTCCATTTCCGTGTTAGGGAAAAAGGTTTCAGCAAACAAATCTAATATCCTTTCAAGCTTTCACATCATCTGGTCAAAACTAAACCAACTACACAGCATACACGATCCAAGCAGGTCGGAGCACCTGCCACGCTAGGAGACACGACCCTCTACTAGGAGATGGAAAGAATCATGCTAGGTATTTGACTGCAAACTCGTAGAATCCCTTCCCAAGAACCCTCCTCTTATTTCAAGTAGCTATAGCCAGAGGCTGATCCCAACTAAGCTAAATAATCTCACCGCCTGTCCAAACGACCAGGCACAACTTTCCCTAATCTAAACGCCAGTGACCTCATTGAATTGAGTCCCACCTAACCCTCGAAAGGTAGTTATAACACGTATCAATAGCGCATGCGCAACAACACAACAAAAGTAAGAGTACGTACAGGTATGCAAGCTGAGGCAACAAGTTCTTCATTTCCTCTATCACGAACTTTTCACAAGCGAGCTGCTGAAAACACACATTGCAAGATGCAGACAACTGATCATTTACAATTTCTGGAACCTTTGAATTTTATTCTCTCCCTGACTAATAACCAAAATTTTCTTTTTCAGAGGGAAGTCTGTTCGATCACCTGCTGACTATCATTTACTTTAAGAAGCAGGGAAAAAATAAGGTACTTTTGAGCATAATGAGAAGTAAATGAAATGTCAGACAAACTACACATAAAACTTGATGTAATAGCAAACTTGAAATAACACCTCTTTCGGGTTCAGCAAGATTCATAGATACCAATCTGAGTCTGGATTAAATTAACCGTATATTTGAAATTATCGTATTGTAATTTAAAATTTCTATTTCCTAGACTTATTAAAGCAAAACTAAACCTACCTTTCTGACAATTCTTTTAAAAAGTTTACTAACACACACTCGTTCATTCAGCTTTATGGTCTGAGCTGTACATGGTGTTTCAAAAGGGCTGCACTTATATTTGTTCTTTGTAGATAACTTTTGATTTACAGCACCAAAACTCATTAGTCCAATATCTCGTGCATTAATCTAAAACACGAAAAATCAAAAAGATTTGAAATAATGCTCTGGAGAAACAAACTTATGAATCGCCCTATATAAAATCAAATCTGCAACCAACAAACTCTTCTTCTCTGTTGTTGTCATGGTTAGTAGTCTATATGATCATCTGAGTGTAAATATTAATTACTTACTTTTATCTAATTACTAGACACTTATTACTAACTGGTTTTTATCCCACATTTACGCTGCTAGCCTGTTTGTCTTCAGTGAAGTCCTGAGTAAGACTATTTTTATATATCCAGGGTAATAGTGGTGACAAGGATTGAATCCTGGATCTTCTTGTTAGAGAGACTGATGTACTATCAACTCGTCTGGGGTATCTCTCTCATTTGAAACTGAATTAATTAACTGGTGTGGATGGTTTAAAAAATGGTAGCCACGTTTTTCTGACTTCTTAGCTTGATTGATTAAGTGTGATATCAGTTAATGAGTGTAGAAGGATTTTTTGTCTTTTATTTTGGCGTGTATGATTAATATCTTATTATTTGTCTAGTATGGTTCTAAGTTATCTTATGGTGTTCTCATACCCTCCACCCTCCCCCCAAAAAAACTGGTAGCGCACATCCGCACATTGCCCTGATACTGATGGTGCACATGAAAAAAATCATTCCGCACATGGATTGAAAGATCAGAGGGTACATTGTTCTTTTTTCCATAAAAAAAATTGAATCTTTTCTTCGACATAAATAATTTAAGCTATTTATTTTAGCCTAAATAAACTTGTAAAACGAAAGTATTTAAAATTTAACAGAGCAGAAATAAAGTTGTTTTGAAGTTAAGTACAAAGCTACTCAATGGACTATCTGTGCTCTGCCTACCATGGGTATCGAAACCCGGTTTCTAGCGTTGTAAGTCCGCAAACATACCGCTTTGCCACTGGGGGGGCACAAAAATAAAGAGAATCTCTTCACCTCACCGTAATAAGCTGTTGAGCTTTAAGTGTCTTGGGTAAGTTCTTTCAAATAAGAAAAAAAAAACAGAAGATAGTAGACATTTTAAGCTTTTTAGGATATTGGGGTGGTAGTTCGACATTCCCGGTACCCCCACCCGTCTCTTAACTACTATTTACTTCGTAAAATTATAAAATGCCCTCTGCATGTCCCAAAAAGAAAGATTAACGAGCGATGTCGTTAACGTACAATAATAATCAAAATCTTAACTAAAATTCACAGTTTCCATTTTTATTATTGGTGTTGAGTTTGCTGACAACACACAAGTTTACTCAGTTACCGTGTAGGCGTAATCCGTGTTTTGAAAGTGATGCGTATGACTCTTAGTACGAAGAAACAGCCAGGTGTGTACCTCGAAATAATGTGGTATTTTTGTAAAGAAACTTACGTTATTGCAATGCTATTTGTTAACTTTCTTGAAATACGACACCTACCTGAACCTCATCTATTATAATGGATCTCATTAAAATAATACACCGAAATACGCTCATTTCAAACATTCTCAGAGAGAGTGTTTGTATCAGCGACAGAAATGTGATGTTTACTAACAGTTCATTGTTTTTCTTTGTTCTCGCGATCATTAGGGAACGGGGTTGGATCCGGTGGCGCAAAAATTCGCTCCACACTTTATAACTATGTGTGGGCTTTAAGAGTAATTAACGGCCTAATCCCACTATTCGATCAGACAAGAGTTGCTGATGGGTATTGTTGACTAGCTGTCTTTCCTCTAATCTGTCAGTTCACCCTTCCAGTAGCTCAGCGGTACGTTTGCAGGTTTACAACACTAACAACCGGGTTTCGATACCCGTGGCGAGCAGGGCACAGATTGCCCCTGGTGCAGTTTTCTGCTTAACAAAGAAACCAAACAGTTCACAATTAGGAGAATCTATGTGCAAATGGTTCTTGTGTAGTTTTGCTGGACATTTTGAAGAAAAAAAAAGCATTAGGAATCGAATAAGGATAAGGTATTTGTGTGTGCGTGTGTATGTAACATAAGTTGTTCTAGAAATAATTTATCTTAAAATCCACAACTAGATCTAAGTTACATGTTGACTGTAATTGTATAACATAGTTCTTAGATCAACCAAGATCATCAAGATCGTTGATTTGTACCTAACGATTGACATTTATTACAAACTCTTTAATACAGCAGAATAATATGGAACAGTGTTTACATTCCTGATGGAAACCATTTCAACAGAATAATAATCATTTCATAGTCACAGTTTCTATTTTACTCTATCTCACATAGCTTTTTTTTTTCTTGCTTTACTCACTTTAATGTTGCTGGGACATTCGGTAAGTTAATTTGCCAGTCTACAAACGTGACAACTTGACAACGACTAACTAACCAACCAGAATAATATGGAACAGTGTTTACATTCCTGAGTGAAAAACGTAATATGGAAACCATTTCAACAGAATAATAATCACTTCATAGTCACAGGTTCTATTTTACTCTATCTTATATAGCTTTCATTCTTTTCTTTTTTGTTTTGTTTTGGCTTTACTCACTTTAATATTGCTGGGACATCCGATAAGTTAATTTGCCAGTCTACAGACGTGACAACTTGACAACAACTAACTAACCAACCTTGGAATTAATTACTTCTCTCAACAAAAAAGCTTGACAGTTACAAGACTATCACTGCAGTTACATCATTATTAACAACCACGACAATATTTAACGGTAATCTTTAGATGTATTTATCGATATATTAAACAATTATCATTAGTGCAGATATAGTTAGAAAAGATGCCGTACACGTGCAAGTGTAAGGTGAAATCAGTTGAAATGTTTTTATTCACACAAAATTACACAGGTTTGCGAGATATTCAATATATCTTATAGAGTAAGAGTTAAAGTCAACGGGACATAAAAGAAATTGTATTTTTCAGCACTCACATACAGGAATATTTTAAGCTAATAATGTAGCGAATTCTGGTTCAATTTGCAAGTCATCATAGATGTATTTAAGTTCCAGGTGAGAGACTTAATTATCCAAAACCTCATCCAAAAATAAGCGAACATGTCTTTGCTAGCAACCTATCATTTCGTCTGAATTCATAAGTTTGACTGACACAAAAATCTTTAACGTATTCAAAAGGTAAGCTTGTTATTTTGACTCTAGAAACAGAAGTTTGTGGGTAAGTAAACTTTAAGAAAGAACCAATCCCAGCAAGGTTCCTTTATGCTGCCTTAAAATTCCACACATGTCTGTATACTGTTCTACAAAAACGTCATATGTTCTTTTACATAAGTGAATCATTTTCATTGAAATCGGGTCACGTTTTGTAATGCTTGAAATGTTGACAACCACTGGCTATAGATTTCTCTAGACCAATCGTGACGTGAAAGTCTTATCGAGCATATGACGTTTTGTGAAAAATGTGTACGTGATAGAGAAAAGTTGATATCATTTTCGGATTCAGCGTACAAGAATTACTGTAGAACATGTAAAAATTTAAAGACAAAAAAAACATCGCAGGCCTGTGTAGTTAGAATGGGGGTTTCAGTAAAAAAAACTATGTAATGTTTAATTTTAGGAATCACACCTGTGAGTCATAATTTAAAGTTATGTGATGTAAACCTGTATTTGTCTTATTAGCTTTTTAAGCACTGATCCAGATATGACATAGTTATACATGTGTATCTAGTTAATCTGGTCACATGCCTCTGATTGACATAACATTTGTTTGTCACAGTGCAGTTTTACGCTACTTTTAAATGGGTGAATTTTTTTTAAACATTGCTAATATTACAGGACAGGAGTAAATCCCCTAAGGAAATGGTATGCTATATAAAGATGTCGGAAATTTTTAATTCCTTTTCTTTTCGATCTTACATAACGGTACAGATATTTTATGATTGATTTTTTGTTCTTAATTAGGCACAAAGCTACACAAAGGGCTATTCTAAGGTTGTAAGTCCACAAACAAACCGCTGTATTTTTTTAACTTCTTGATGGTAATATAGTCTATAAAATTCACAGAAGTAAATCTATCACTTACACATATTTATCGCGTTTTGTGTAATAAAACATCAGACTTTCAAACGTTATTTGTGATAAACCAACAGGTATTAAAGATATAATCATATTTAGGTAAAAACAGTTCGGTAGACAAAAATCTTATTTTATCTACGGTACAAGGTACTGATTTTTTTTTCACTTTTCTGTTA